AATTTTTTATACACTATATATATATATATATATATAAAGAAATTTTTTATGTTTATACATTCTTTTATAGATACAAATATTTAAGTAAAGATTCTGTTTTATAATAAACAGTATTAAACAACATTTACCGGCCTGAATGTCCGAGAAATATTCATAGAAAATTTTTGTCTTCCGACAGGAATCGAACTTACATCCTATACGGAACCGTCATATAGCCTGACGTGCCTTTAACCGTTTCGTTTATATATATATATTCATTTTGTACAGGGTGTATCCAAAATAATTTTACAAAGTATGAAGAGGGTTCCTCTCACCAAAACAAGGACAAAAGTCTATAAACATGTCCGCAAATCTTTCGTTTTTGAGCTATTAAGTTTAAAGAAAATTTACGCTAGATGGCGCAATGTTACTATGTAGACTAGGTTACATTTGTCATTCGTGTACATTTGTGGCTAGTCTATCTTCAAAGTTTAACGTGTGTAGTAGTGTGTTAACTGAGAAGTCTCCCGCTTAACAATGGCAAGATAATCATATCATGAGCAGGCAGATATGACTTTTACATACAGCTGAATGAATGGTAATGAACGCGATGTACATTATTTGTATCTAATTATTGTGTTTCGGATTGAACTCAATATGTTGTCATCCAAAAAAGAATGTTTATCCAAAAACAAGTATCTGAAAAAACATGGCACTGGCAAACTATGGATCGAGGAAAAATGAGATCCTCTCGTCCGCCTTTGACCATAAAAAAACAAATATAAAACGACCCAAATATATTTATATACTTGTTTTGGAGGAGGAATATACGCCAATATTTATAAAAATATATTTATATTATATGTCCCCATATAAGGGTGTACAAAACTTTAAAAATTTATAAATTTAAATTTGTATTTGCGATAGAAATAATTTGTAAAAAGGATTAGAAAGAAGTAAATCTATATTTTTTAAAGGTTTTATTGAAATTTTATTTAAGTTTCCATGTCCTCCATCATTAGCAATACAAAGGGTAATACGATTTTGCAGTTCACGGAAAAAACATTTGCCAACTGATTTACAGTAATGCCTGAAATCACATTAGTTGTTTTAGCTATACTTAAAACTAGGTACATTAAACTTTATAACATTTTTTACAGATTATTTCTATCGCAAATACAAATAAAGTTATAAATGTTTTAAAGTGCACACGAACTTTATGGACACCCTGTATATATCCATATATATATATATATATATATAAGACAAGAGGAAAATTAGTTTTAGCCGACGCGTTTCGTCCATTGTGCACTTTTTCAAGGTAAAAAACGAAAGGAATGACTTAAAACAAAGTAACTATAAACAACGAAGAAAATGTGGTTACCAACTAGTTTAGATACGCTATTGTATATTCATATGAAACTGAAAATTAAGAAAAATTTTATTGGAATCAAATTTGAAGACAATATTTTCTAAATATGTTTGTATTTATAAATTTTAACCAATTCAACGGTTTTCTTATGAATTTTTGATAATATTTGTTAAATACAGCTGGGATTTTTACTTTTGATTTTTTAGAAAAATGTTATTTAAAATACAATTGTTTTGGAACCCTGAAAAATCCATATTGGGCATGAAAATCGGCTAAAACTATTGTTTTGAAAATATTGTCATTTTTTCTTTATACATATTGTTTTTTTCTACAGGTTAATTGAATGTTTTTTTTAGGACATATACGTACATATATATATATATATATATATTTATATCAATCATATATTTAATGGATTTGAAACATCGTTTATATTTAAAACAAGTAATCTATAAACGAGAAAATTAAATGGCGAGAATATTGTTTATCATTAACGTTCTATATCTGTTTTGTATGACCGAATATGTAAATATATATATATATATATTTACATATATATATATATATATATATAAATATATATATATATAATATATATATATATCATAATGTGTGTGTGTGTGTTCATGTATTTATTTTTATGACAAAAGAAAAAAATTATTTCGTCAAGTCTAAACGTTTTAAGCATTTCTTAAAACATTTGCAATGCGACGATAACAATCTATAGGATCTTCGAATTATTTTGAAGCAATCGGATGTAAATTTTAAATGAAAATGTCTTGAGACAAACTAAAAACATTCTGTCTGTGAAGGAAAACAAATTATTATATATATATATATATATATATATATATATATATAAATATGGAAAAATATATATGGTTTAATTTTATATATCAAGAACAAACAAAGGGAAATTATTGACACAATGGAAAAATTTTCATTTGACGTAATAAATCCATTAGGACTTCATCAGACGAAAGTTATATTTTTGATCGATAAAAATTTGTAAAACTTGGTTTTAAAAAATTTTAATTTAAAAATGCTAATTTATTTAAAAGAAAAGGCAATTGTCTTGACAAAATGTATATAAAGTGTTTGAAATCATTTGGATCAGTAGGTTATTCCAGTAAATTTACGTCTTTTTAGAACACAATTTTCAACTTTCTTGGAATATTTTTTCTTATTACCTATTAAATGAGACATTTTATGTGATTTACAGAATTGAAACTTCAACGAAATCATTAATAGAATATAATTTGTTTATATTTAAAACAACATGTGTTTTTTTAATTTATTCTACTTTGATTCCAAATTTGTTCATGTTAAATTAAAAACGTAAATTTTATTTTTTATTTCCGATTTCGTTTTAAATAGATATTTATTATTTTCTCGATATTTTTCAGTAATTTTTTCCTGACGAATGATATATATATATATATATAGAAAAAAAATCTGATTATACATTCTAGAAAACCAATATTTATAATGTAAATCCTAAAAAACTTAGTTCATTTGGTCCAAATTACGTTTTTTTAAAAATGAATAAAAAAAAAATTTAACAAAATATATCTAAAAAAGGAAAATTAGGTAGTTCTAAATTTGATATTATTGTCAACTGACATAATTTTCCATTGACAAAATGAATATAATATCGTTTTCTAAATTCTTTAATGTCCTCTTAAGGACATTTTGTTTATTAATGTTACTTTGTTTTATTTAAATTCATGGTCGTGTTTTTTATTTTGAAAAATCCATATTGGACTTAAAACCGTCGGATAATATACAATTTTCTATTGTATTTATTTTTAAATTTATATATATATATATATATATATATATATATATATATATATATATATATATGATATATATATTATTCATATTTATATTATGGGAAAAGTTATACGATTATTTTTAATTTTTCATAGCATGTTTCGAAACAATCTGAAAATATTTAGTAAAATAATTTTATATCTAATATCTATATAAAATCGATATTCATTGAGAAAACTTGATTGATGCCTACAAATTAGTTTGAAGGCTTAATTATTACTTTAACTGTATCGGTACAGAAATTAACTAAGCTGAACACATTTTTTTCATATTTTATATATGTTTTAAGTATTCAACATTGTTTCAGTAGTTATTTAGTAAGAAAAAGGGATATATTGAAATGATTCGTCATATACTAATCACAGGAGACTTCTATCTCATTTTCAGATTAAAATTCTGATCACAAAGATTTCAGTGGTCATTATTTAATTTTAAAAAAATTTTTTCTTTAAATATGAGGATGATTCGCCAATGTATTTTGAAACATTTTTTTTTATTTTGTTTGGTTAACTCATATTAGTTACCTGTTTTAGATTGATTAATTTAAAAACTACTGCTGAAGTAGGCCAATATTTTTTTAGATTGAGTTTATGTTTTTTCCAACTTAATTCATACTTAAATAGTTGCATCTATAAGAAAATTGTTGATAATTTATTGTATATAGTCTTATCATGTCGTTTATGTTTCTTTCATTTTTGTTTTTTAGATTTTGTATGCTTTTCATTTGGCATTGTAATAACCAGGATATATTTCTATAAATATTTTACAAGTATTTAAAAATATATTTTAAAATTCATATTGATATTCAGTCCCCAAATATTCTGGGTTCTTAAATGCAAACAAATAATTTGTTACAGGTTTTATCATATATTTGTCGTTTCTAAATCAATGACTTTATTGTTTTTTTTTTTTTTTTGTTCTTATGTTAGGGAAAGATATTTAATTTCCTCGGTATCAGTTTGAAAAAGCAATGTAAAAAAAAAAATAAGTTATTGCAAAAAAGCTGACAAATTTGTATTTATTGACACTACCTTTTAAAATTCTTCCCAAATTCAAACATGTATAATTACTAAAACAGCTATTTTATACTTTTTATATATAATCATGAAATTCTCCAATAATTATTTTTTTTTCACAGGTAAACATTTGAATATAATTCAGGATAAGTCTATATTTAAACAAAAATATCATACTTATATATATTTATATATATATATATATATATATATATATATAATTATATATATATATATATATATATATATATATATAATAAATTGGTTGTGTCGGTAACCCATGATATATATATATATGTTTGAACTCAACGAGGAACCTGTCAAAAATAATTCAGCTTTAAAGATTCAACTTTTCCAAATATAATTTTAATTAGTTTTTACAGGCTTTTGTATTTCTTTTACTTTCACGAAATTGAACGAATCATTTTTGAATTTATTTATGGATTATTTTGGTAAATAGTATTTCCCATTTTTAATTGAAAGTTAAAATATTGAAGATAATAGTGGCAATAATATTTGATTTAAATGCAGAGAAAGCTGGCAACCCTGAGATAGTAGCTTGATATTTGCCGTTGATACAAAAAAATATCATCAAGGGTAATGAATAGGCCAATCATGGCGATTGTGGTATGGAGAGAGCGGAGGAGATGATTTAGAATTGAACAAAAACTTAGGAGTTTTGATTGTACGATAGAAATCTCCTTACATATGTTCAGATAAGGCCGATATATAAATAGTTAGATGTTTTGTTGTTGCTGAGGTTTTTTCTTTTTTTTTAAAGTTATTTCCCAGTCTCT